CACTGAAACTTATTTAACGCCTACAACCAAAACAATTTCATTCACACCTCAGCAAAAAATGAGAGCTTAGAAAGCAAAATTCTTTATTTTTCTAAGGTAATCAGATATAATGAAATTCTGTCCATTACTGATAGTTGTTTCCAAAGATATCTAAAGTGAAAAAGGAAAACTTTCATGTGATGGCACCTGAGTGTATTTGAAGGAGCTAAGCATTTTTGCCCAAAATGGGGGAGTTAAACTGGTGTTTGAAGTTGACATTCAATTCTGACATACAAGCTCATGTTGCATCAATCTAGTCCATATTAAATTTCCTGAGTTGTAGATGGATTTTAAATTCAAATTTTACCAATTCATAATAAAAATATTTTTAAGAGTAAGAACATGCAGCTAAAAGTGAATTAACTTGAATGCTTCCAAAAACACTCGTTCATATTGACGTTATCTCTTGCTACAGAAAAAAAACTATAAAATGGGGATTTCTTTCATGCAAGGATCATCTAGAATTCATTATTTCGCTTCATCTCACCGTTTGAAATAAAAATAGTTATAATGCAGCATCTATCAGTCTAGCATAAATAAGTGAGAACATTTCACCCTAAATGCTACATAAGCAACAAAGCCCATAAATGTTTCACACACACAAAAAAACAAAAGGACGTTGCAACATGTATCACAATGAGAAAATTCTACTCTCTGTGGGCGGCATCTTGTTAACAATAACAGATAAGTAGGTGTACCAGGTGAAGACTAAGACTGATGACAATAAGAGGTACAAGACTAGGCTTGTTGAAAAAGGCTTTCAGCAAAGGTAGTATATTGCCCATGCAGTGGAAGTTGTAAGCGGAGACAAAAGTAATTCAGGAAATAGCTTGGAAGTGCAACTGTTTGGACTCTGTTGATATGTTGACTGAGGGTGTTACTCTTGAGAAAGTGAAGTTGTGCGCAGTTTCGGTTGGTCTTATGGAGTGAAGACAGAGCTTTGAGGTGCAGAGGTGGAGGATTCATGACAGAAGATTCATATTTGAAGAAAAAGGGCGACACCGCCAATGGATGATATCAGGTCGAGGAGGAAGACATTTGCAGCAGGTGTATCAGTCTCTAAGTGGGAGATTGCTAAGCGTTAAGGCCCAATACACGCCTCCTCAACCCACCCCGCTCCACTCCCGATCGCAAACTATCGCGATCCCTCTCTCAATTGCGAAAGGTCGCAACCGCGACCTGCGATTTCGCGATAACTGTCGTTCCCTAGTCCCGATTCGCAAAGAGTTGTGCCTCCTTGTTGTCGCGAACTATTCCCGCCCCCTGTCTCCTATAAGTTGCAAACAAAAGAGAAGAATGTTTCCTAAGTCACATTTTATGTTTTTTTCTTCAGGTTTCCTCGGGATAGAGGAAGATTTCTTCGGGTCTCCACGAGACAGTGGAAGAGAAGTGCAAGGAGGAGTTGTTCCTTGCGGTAGAGGAAGAAGAAGGAAGAAGAAAGAAGAAGAAGATTGTTCTCTCTTAGCTTCTTCTTGGTGGCTTGTGGCAAAAGAAAAATTGGATTTATTTTTCTTGTAAGTTTATATTCTTCAGTGTATCTAGGTGTAGAGAGAGAAGAACAGAGAGAGAAGAATAGAGAGCAACGAAGTGAGAGTGAGGGATTCCTTTTGTAAGTCAAGATGATCGACAGGTGTAATTCCTCAAGTATTAAAATCCTCTGCAACTCTGTGGACGTAAGCAATTTGCAGAATCACGTAAATCTGTGTGTTCCGTTATGTTGTTCTTTTCTGGTATGAATTTTCTCGTTCTATTTTTCGCTTCAAAGATCGTTCTCCTATTTGATTTATATATATACCACATCAACTAGTATATCTAGATCTCGTTACAACTATAACTCCATCCATATGGTTCCTCTAAGCATTGTTGTAAGAATTTAGCTTATTCCTCTCAAATGTATACTTGTTTCATGCAATGTAACTTAAGATCACATTAAAGCACCTCTTTAAACCACCTTATATTTGGGATATTAGTTCCTCCTTGCACAAAGTAAAGTTATAATGTTTCCATGCTCTAAGAGGACACCATTAAATGATTTTTTTTCTTTTCCAATCATCGTCATTCATTCACTATATTTAGCAAGATTTTTGAAATTCACTTAATTACCAGCTCATTATGAAGCTTATATTGCCTACAAAAATGCTTGTTCAATATTGTGAATGACTTTTTGATAATAAAAAACTTATATGCTTTTTTGAACTCTTCGGAGTTGAGACATCTTAAACTACTTCAACTCATGAATCTTCTTCCACCTATAGCCTTAAGATAGATAAGGAAAGTTTAGCTCGATTCAGAATAGAATTTCACTCAATTAAAGTTTATGTTCTCTCAGTCTTATTGCATTTATCTTTCTATCTTTCTACATATCTTAATATACAGTGTAAAATAATCCCCCAGTACAGATCTGTGACTACTCTAACTTGTACTCATACTTTTCAATAGTGAATATTATTTTTCAACTCTATATAAAGAAGTTCGGCCACATGACTAAATTGCTAGATTTTTTTGCTCTCCTTATATTTTGTCACTACTTTACTCTTGACACCTTATAGAATAACTTACAAGTTTACTTGTTCCTAATTCCTTTTCTCTTCATATTTACCTACATAACATGATAATATATAAATAAAATAAAATGTTCACTAACATTAACATATGTAAAATAAAATGCATATTTTCATGAATAAATTTTTACATGATATAAAACCTAAAATGTTAGTTATGTGAATTGATAAAAAAACTATTGATATATACGTAAATCCACCCCATAATATTGTGTTCAAATATTTTATATATTAGAGAACTCAAGCCAAAAATACTCCCATTGGTTACAATCATGCGGCTGCTGCCTCGACGAGTACTGTAGACCCGATATCAGCATAATTTTGCTGATGTAAGCAGTGACGTATGCATAAATAACAAACATTAAAAAATATAGGAACGTTTACAGGTCTTTTTGAGGCAGCTGCATCTTATTGAATAATCAGCTGATAAACTATGTGTGGTGGCTATTATAAATTTTTATTTTTATTTTGGAAAAGCCAGAAAGCTATCAGAAAGGTACCATCTCACCTAGATGGGCGCTGATTTCAGCATTTTGAAAATGCATAAGCTGTCAAAACGCAGTTTATCCAAACACGTTAGATGAATTTTCAAAATGTTACCGTACCAAATAAATTCAATACATCTGTTTTTCTTAACATAAGTCGAATCTTAAAAATCTACTCTCCGAACAAGATTATCGGAGCTGCACAAACTATTTCATGAATGGATTCATTTCACACTTTTTCTAAGAGTCAAGCCACTCATACACCTAAGAACTATCAACTGAGCAACACTTAACTTTGTTTTATGCTTCTCTTTTAAGGCCAAAGTTCTATGCCAGTTTTAGACGGTGTAAATGTAAAAAATAATTTAGATATGTAAATAAAAAATTATTAAATTATAAAAATTATATTAAATTTTATTACTTATGTAAAAAAAATAAAAAATTTTATCCTTCATGTAATCTCCCTAAACAGCAATAATACGTGGCTCCAATTAACGAGACATGCCACTGCTCATAATATACATGGTAAATAAAATGATATAATACAAGCCATAAGAAGGTAAAAATTTAAAAAAATTTTTTTTTTTTTTTTTTTTAGCCACAAAATTCAAATTTGAAGTATATTCTAATTATTAAAATTTAATGTATTTTTCACTATGATTTATTTTTTGTAAAATATATAATGATATTTATTTTTTAATAAAATAGTCAATTTTTTTTAAAATCCTATTAAGTCAATGAAATCTTTAATCATATTAAATTATTATTTTTTAGAAAATGATTTTCTAATTATATATTAATATGTGAAATTCAAATTTCAAAATTTAATAATTATTATAAAAATTGTCAAATAAACTCTCATCTCTTATATAATATATCATTTGATATTAACTTCAAATAAATAATAATAATAATAATAATAATAATAATAATAATAATATAAATAATATAAATAATAATAATAATCATAATAATAATAATAATAATAATAATGATGATGATGATGATGATGATGATGATGATACTTCGATTATAAGAAAAATAAAAACCATCGATTAATGTGACACATACGTTTTATATAAAATATTCACACAATAATATACAGTTAAATATCTATTTTACGGATTTAATAAATAAGAAATATTATTAAAAACATATTAATATATGTAATTGGAAAAAAAATAATTGAAAATAAGACTTAAATGTTTTTTCATATCATTTATCTTTTAAAAAAATATTATTGCCGTCTAATAATAACAAATAAGTTCAACCATAAATTAGCCGGAGTTTAATATTCTTCATATCTTAGCTTTATTTCAAACTGGGTAAAATTATAAATTTTTTTATTACATAACAGTCGTATTCAGCCAGACAGGAGAACATATTCCCCTCAAATTTTTCTAATTATCATTATTTGTAAAAAAATATTTTAACTTTAATCGTTATAGAAACAAATAATAATTTTTTTCCGCCGAAAACTCCTGCAGAAAAGTCTATGACACGGAAAAAATTTGCGTACGTAAGACGTGCGCAGCGCTGCGTACGTCAGTAACCTATAAATATGTTACTGAGAAGGTATTGGGGGGTTATATACTCGTTATACTCCATGTAACCTCCATGTAACCTACTGTAACATATAAATATATGAAAACAGAGGCGTGAAACTTACTAGAATGTACATGTTGGTTACAGAGAGGTTGCAGGGGGTATAACGGTTATAACCTCCCGATAGCCTTTCTGTAACCTACTAATATACGCAGCGCTGCTTACGACTTATGTACGCAATTTTTTTCTCTATGACACAAGCGAATTTTACACGCAAAACTCATATATTAATTGATAGTATTTGATGATATTAATTATAATATTATCATAATAAGATCATAGTAATTTTTTTTTTAAAGGATACGTGCCACGTTCATTTCTTTCTCCACCGAGTGAGGGGAGAGAGAGAGAGAGAACAAAGTGGAGGTCAAACCATAAAGGGAAGAAGGAAATCAGTGGAAATTTTGGATGCCTTTTTCTTACATGTTGAGATGGGTAGCAGATGATGAAGCACTGATCGGCGGAAGGAATCGAGATGGTAATTTTGCTTCTCAGAGAGGGTAAGGATTTCTTGCTTTGTTTGACGATTTTTTTTTTTGGGATTTAATTGAGATCGAGAATTTGATTTATCTGAGACTGTATTTTATGAGCTATGTGCGAATTTTCTCCCGAGTTTTTGGTTGTGGATTTGCTACCTTTGAGTAGTTTCTATATGATTGAAGGGGGGTGATGAGTGGTTTGATTTTTGGTTCCATGTTCCGGTTAGGGTTTTATTCTGCTTTTCAGTTTCTTAGATTTTTTGTTCTATTTGATCTGTTGCGTCTGATATTAACCTAATTTACAGTTTTTTCCAGCTTTTTGTGTTGGAATCGGAGCAATCTTTGGGCTTCCAAGAGTAATCCCTGAGGAAAAGGAAGCAATGGAGTAAATCTTGTATCTTTTGTGATTGATAATGATTAGAGTTTTTGGGATTCTACGGTTTATGGAATGATTGAATTTTGGATCAAGAGATTGTTTGTGCTGGTAAGTTTGACCTTTTGAGTAAAGATTAGGAACTTAATTGAAGTAACAAACTAAAAATTATTTCCTAGTGGAGTGGAAATGAATCTCAATCACAAGAGGGTTGCTGAATCGTCACCAAGTTCGTCTCGAATCATGGGGGATACTGCAAGAAATCTCAACAGAAACCTGCCATTTTCTCCATTTAATTCTGCAGCTCTACATCATGATCCAAGAACTGCACCATCTCTCCCTGAAATCTCTCCTCCGGATGCTCAATCTCAAAGCTTGTGCCCTCTTATTCATGAAGTTAAGAAGCAGGATCAATCGGAGCCAATTACCTGTGCTAAAAACCATATTCTGGATTGGGATCCGAGAGAGATGCTAAACAACCTCTCTTTCCTTGAACAGAAGATTCATCAAGTTCAGGATATAGTGCATTCCATTGCTAATCAGGATGGCCAGTTTCCTAATCATACAAATGAGCTAGCTGTACAGCAACAGCTTGTAACTGCTGATCTCACCTGCATAATAATTCAGCTTATTTCCACAGCTGGCACCCTTCTTCCTTCCATGAAGAACTCGCTCATATCAACTGACGCCATGATCAATCCATCGGGATGCATCACAAGCACTCCCAGTCTTTGTTTTAATGGTAATATGCAGCAGAAGGAGACTATTCTGTCCCAGAGCACAAAAGCTTCAGAGTTTGATGAGCTTATCAAAGGCTTAACTGATTGTGGAACTGAAGGAGATGAGCTAATCAAATGTTTGAAGAACAGCAGGACTGAAGTGGCAGAGACTGCTGTCATTGAAGATCAGGATTTGAAAGATGTTGAGGAAAGTGTGGAAGGAGAAAATCTTATTCCAGGTTCATATGAAGTCTTTCAGCTAGAAAAAGAGGAGATTTTAGCACCTCATACACACTTTTGTATGATTTGTGGTAAGGGATTTAAAAGAGATGCAAACCTCAGGATGCACATGAGAGGCCATGGAGACGAGTACAAGAGCGCTGCGGCTCTTGCAAAACCAACCAAGGAACTGAACTCCGAGCTGATGCCTATCAGAAGATACTCGTGTCCCTTCGTCGGTTGCAAGAGAAATAAGGACCATAAGAAATTTTTGCCATTAAAGACCATTCTCTGTGTGAAGAATCATTATAAAAGGAGCCATTGTGACAAGAAGTATACATGCAGTAGGTGCCATAGTAAGAAGTTTTCAGTTCTTGCTGATCTGAAGACTCATGAGAAGCACTGTGGGCGTGATAAATGGCTTTGTTCGTGCGGAACGACGTTCTCAAGGAAAGATAAATTGTTTGGGCATGTTGCTCTTTTTCAGGGTCACACGCCAGCTCTCGCCATGGAAGAGAGCAAAACTTTGGGAGGATTATTAGACCATGGAAATGATGATGAAGAAAAAGCCATTGTTGGTAGGAGCAGCTTGGATGATGCTAATGTTTTAGATGTTAGAGAGGATGGCTTGTTTTCTCTTATGAACTTTGATTCCTATAACTTTGGAGGTTTTGATGAATTTTCGCGGCCCGGATTCAATTCCTCTAGAGGTTCGTTTTGTTTTGATGCATCTGGATCAGATAATGGAGCTTTATGATGAGAAATGGTGTGAAATTTAGTTCCAATAGCTTGGGATGACAGCAAGAGCTTTTGCTGGTAAACTGAAGGTTTCTTCATGACTGCTATTTTGAAGATTATATTGGTGCTAATATCATGTATTGTTAGTTTATCTTTAGTAATATAATAGTTGGATTTAAATGCAATAAAATTATAATGATTTTGATCTGAATTTTTGGATTTAATTCTAACCATTCAATTTGTATTGGATGGCCGACACAAATAGAACACATTGCTGATCGATGGGCCACATGTTTCAGATCAAACAGATGCGTCACTTATTATTATTATTATTTAATCTAAATGAATATGCGTGTATAAATCAAAAGTCATTGAGTTGCAAATTTTTTAGTACTATAATAATAATTATTATTATTATATAAATTAAATTAAAAAAAATTATTAAGATATATGCCCTCCTATAGAATAATAAACGTGATGCAGGAAGAAAAATGGTTTGATATCTTAACTAAGGGTCTGTTTGGAGCAGCTATAGCTTATTAGGCTCTGCATCTGCAACTTATTGAATAATTTATTAATAAATTGATTAAAAATAATCTACCGATAAGCTCGGTACGGTGATTATTACAAATTTTTTTTTTTTTGAAAAAGTAAGACCGCTGCCAGAAAGTTATCACCGCACTTAGATCAGTGCGGTATAAAAAAAGTTTTTAGGGTTTTGAAAATACTGTCAAAACGTAGTTTACCCAAACAAGCAAAGTGTGTTTTCAAAGCGCCAACACACCAAATAAGCTGCCTCAAACGGACCCTAAATTTTTTATTTGCATTGATTATAAAAGTTTAGACATTTTAAAATAATTCTACCATAAAATTTTATTATGCTTTTATATATCATATTTAGTTAGTTATCCCAAAATAAATTTAAGAATTTCAAGATTCTATCCAATCAAATCTTTGATCTCATCATTTTCTTTGGAAATTTACATACATAGCTAAATGCATAGCACTCAATTCTTATGTATTAACATATCTAGCACTCAAATTTTTATATTCATATTTATAACATTTTAATGTCCTAAAATGATGCCTGAAGGTCTATTTATCTTATTTTATTTTTGAGATTACATATTAACGATTTGAGTATTATGAATATAAATATAAAAATTTGGATATTAAATATATAAATTTATAAGAATTACCTACCACGCTCCCCACCTCAACAAATAGGAAATCTATAGACTATTATATGTTGAAAGATTGACAATAAGAATACAATAGAGATAGTATTGGATAGATCATTAAAGATAACATTGTTAATAGTTATATAATAACAAGAGGTGCAGATAAAGAAGTTGACATCGGTGAAGATACTGTAATCTGTCTCAGGCTCCTCCAACTGAGCAAAATTTAAAAGAAAAATGAATGAATTACTCTGAAAAAGATGACAGGAATGGTGAAGAAAAAAAATAAATATACATTGTTATGGTAATTGGCACAACAGGATTCATGTGAATGCCAGAAACAGGAAAAAATATTACAGTCCGGACATGCAGACGGCTAACTGCCGGGCGCTACGTCGTCTGGCGCCGACATGTGTGGCGACGTGACACCTAGCAGTTGGTTGTCCGGACATACAGTTTTCGAATGTAATATTTTCTCCATGGAAAGAGGACATCTGTAAAGCCAAAACTACAATGTCACAAGACAAGTCCTTAAAAAATAAATGAGATTGAAAATTTGATCAAAATAAAGAATATATAAAAATGAAGACAACAAGAAATTAACCAAAAGGGGCATCAGGACAGTGAATGCTTAATACCGTTTGTATTAAACGAAATTCATAAAAATTGAATCTTTAAGTTCATACAAAAATCTATCAAGGCTTGAGGAGTTAAAGTTTTGTTGTTCTGACTAATATGCCTATTAGATGAAATTATAGGGCTTTACACAGCAATAGGAAGGTTAGTTTCCTTATGCTTTGAGGTGAAACTGTGGTGATTAGATCTCTATGGGACTTCTTGAAAGAAAAATAAAACTAAATACAGAAAAAAAGCCTCCATTCTGCTCATTATTTTGTAACTCCAATAATAATGAAAAAAAAATACTAACAGCTGCATAAAATGAATATGATTTATCTTATCATCCCCAAAATCCAAAGGGCAGCCAAATAGAAAAAAATGTAGATTTCAACATTCCACCAATGAAAAAAACAAAAAGTGCGGATACTTGAAGCATAATTGTCGTAAGGATATTAATCCTGCTTCCCACGTTGAAGCCTAGCACGGTGTCTCAGTTCAGCTTTCTTCCACTTCACAATAAGTTTGCACAAAGATATCAGTGTGTTAACCTATAAATAAGTAAAAATAATATGTTAGCCTTGTGAGGAAATTACGCAAAGGAAATTACGCAAAAAAATTTAAAAAAAATTTAAAAAAAAAAAAAACCTTAAAAAATTAATATTTAATTACCACAAGTACTATTGATATGAGTAGAAGAGGAGCAGACCAGACGACAGAAATGAACAGACCATTGGAATCAAAGTAATTCTGGCCAGCGAAGCTCTTCCAGTTTTTAGCCAGAAAACTGTTAATCCTCTCAGCTAGATATACACCAGAGACTACAGAGGAGAAAATTCAAATATTAAAGTCATGGCTTAATGTCAAGTTGTTTCTTGAACCAAGCTGATGGTAACAGATGGCCTGAGAGAGTTTAATTAACAGATTATGAACAATAATATAAAAAAGAATGGTATGTTTATGAGATTGCTCATCAGATTAGACTATCTTCAAAAAAAAAAAAAAAAGGGAGAATCCATTGGTTTCTGGAGAGAAAAGGAACGAGGGCACCAAGAATTCCGTTCCTCGAAATGGTTAAAGGAGTAATTCATTACAATAAATGATATGCTAATAATAGTCAACCTTGATTAAACCAATCTGCATAAGTCTTGGATGTGTTGAGAAATATGCATGAAGCACTGAAAGGCTGGTTAATCAGTATAATAGCCTATTTGATCTCACAAGGTATAGTACCACCCTTTTATGCTTAGGCGCACATATCACATTAATGAACAAAACAATAGATTCATTTAAAAAGAAATTCAAAATCATTTTTGAATGCAGTCAATGATCAGATAAGACTTTAATCCACTTTAAGTTCTATTTTTTAGTTTACCACAATACATCATTATATACAAGGAATGTTCTTAGCAAGAAGCATAAAAAAGGTCATAAAACAGGAAAATTAAAAGAAAAAGATATGCAGACACAGTGTTGAGCAGGGGTATTTGTAGAAAAAATGAAGCTCCTAGCAACCCAAAAAGAGGAAAATTGATCGCTCACTTCATCTCAGCCAACGTTTCTAATTCTAAAATAAGAATTGTTTCAGCCTTTTTTGCATTGTTAATGAGATTTGAATTTCAACCTTGGAGGTTGATTTCATTGTCAAGGTTTGCAAGAAAAATAATACTGGGTTTGGTGTTTTATGGTAAAGACTATTCATGTTTTTTTTTTAATTTCAACAAATAGGGCAATTCAAAATGTATACACTTAAAGGTATCCAATAAAAAAGTCCAATGGCGAGCTGAGCCACGATGCAGTGGTTGGAGTCTTTCTCGAATTTTAGACCCACATTCAGCACCATCGTTCCAATTATTTGTCACCAGTCAACAGAAAAGAAAAAAAAAGGCCAGCAACATTGTAAGAGATTGCCGATGCCAAAAAAAAAATAATAATAATAAAATTAAAAAAAAAAAAACCATATTTGAGGAAACTAAGAGAAGCATCCAGTTTTATGCTTGATCAGCAACAATTGTTGTGCTCGCTAGAGGAAAGAAAGCTTCAAGAGGATCCACTAGATTTTCGGGGTATAAAGCCTGACATGATAACTCGGACTAAGAAAGGCGTCTGGAGATGAACCAGCCCCCAAATAGCAAAATATATGTATAATTTAGAGAAAGAATGATAAGGCTGCCAGGGGCCATTCCAAAGGTCCATGTGAATTTTAAGAAAAAAAAGGATTTATGGTCTATTTACCCAACCCGATAAATACAATACTTGGCGTGATGATGACCCAGTTGAGCAAAAAGTAGGGTGATAACCCAAAAACGGAGATATTAAACTTATGGACTGATAATACCAATTTGAGAGAAAATGAACTTGCAGGAAAATAAACCTATTAGAAAGAACCCGGGTGGTGAAAACACGGTTTGAAGGATATTTTACTTACAGATTAACAACTTGGCTATGAAGTACATAGGAACCTAATCTGAGAGATGTTGGGACTTACCGTGTGGTAACCAAGCTAGGAAGAAAATAAAACGAGAACCCAGTCTGAGAAATATTGCGTCACACCCAACTGACCCCTTATAGGATTAAACATGGGTGCAAAAGAGATTGAACTACTCAGTCCGACACAATTCCCACCAAAACTCATCCAAACTTGTACAAATCAAGACTAAGTGGGTGATAGATGGGTCTCACTCAATCGTCAAAAACATAAACTATTCAATTCAATTATGTCCATTCATAGTCATTATAAAGAGAAGTGTGTAATAATTTCACTAAAAACATATAGACCTACTAAACATCAAAGCATAGAAATGTACATATCTCAAAAGTCTTTACAATTTTCCCGAAACTATACTACTCAAAAGTTTGACAATAACACGCCTAGATAATTGCTATGCTAAACATCAATTCAATTATGTCCATTCATAGTCATCCTAAAAAAATAACAACATAATCTGAATATACTTTTAAATACATATAATTCAAATAAATTCTATCTTCCATCTCAACCAAAAGGCCCGAAGCATTCCTCCATGTCAACCAACCAACTCGAATTCTACTATTAACATCCCCATCTTCATCACCATCGCATTGAACAACAGACCCGAGATATCTAAATCGTTCACACCTTTTAATAATTTGATCACCCAAAGTTACACTTCTATCACTAGAGCTACAACTACTAAAATTACATTCCAAGTATTCAGTTTTAGTTCTACTCAAATGAAGGTCTTTAGACTCCAATGTAGACCTCCATAATTCAAGTTGTTCCTGGGCTTTTCTCTCGTCTTATTAACGAGAAGGATATTATCAGCAAAAAGCATAAACCAAGGTACATCATCCTGTAAATGTCCAGTAAGACCATCCATAACTAAAGCAAAAAGATATGGGCTTAAAGCCGAACCCTGATGTGATCCAACAGAAATAGGAAAATATTTGGTCAATCCTCCTTCCGTTCGAACACAAGTAACAGGTCTAGTATACATATCTTTAATGACTTGACTATAAGTCATATCAACACCTTTCTTCTCTAGAACACTCCAAAGAACATCTCTTGGAAACTTATTGTAAGCTTTTTCTAAATCAATAAAAATCAAATGTAGATCCTCCTTATTATCTCTGAACTTCTCCATCAAACCTTTCAATAGATGTATAGCTTCCATGGTAGACTTGCCCGACATAAAACCAAATTGATTATGAGAAATCTTTGTAATACGTCTTAACCTATGTTCAATTACTCTCTCCCATAATTTTAAAGTATAACATATCAACTTAATTCCTCTATAATTTGCACACTCTTGTGCATCCCCTTTATTCTTAAAAATGCAAACCAAAATACTCTTCCTCCACTTCTCAAGCATCTTTTTAGTTTTTAAAATAATATTAAAGAGTTTGGTAAGCCAAGAAACTCACAAATCTCCTAAATATTTTCACACTTTAATTAGGATATCATCAGGTCCTATAGACTTTCCACCCCTGGTTTTCTTTAAAGCCTCATCAACTTGTTTTTTACTAATGTGACGGTAAAAATAAAACGTTTTCTTATTATCAACGATATTAAAATCACTAAAGTTGATAGTATTTTCAGAAACATCATTAAAAAGTTTATCAAAATAACTCACCCATCTATGTTGAATATCTTTTTTCATTAAATACACTTTTTGATTTTCATCTTCAATACATTTTACTTGGGTTAAATTTTTACTTTTTTTTCTCTATGTTTGGTTGGTTTCTACATATATTTTTTACCCTACTTAGCATCTAATCTATCATAAAGATCACTAAAAGCAGAATTTTTAGAATAACAGATAGTTCTTTTAGACTCTCTACGAGCCGTTTGATATTTTTTTCAGTTCTCTAAATTTTTACAAATAAATAAATTTTTATAACATAACTTATTATATTCTATCTTTTTTTGCACTCTATTATTCTACCATAAACTATTTTTATTTATTGAAACTTTTTCTTTTAATTCTCCAAATAAATCTTTTGCTACTTGTTTAATAGTGCTTGTTATCCCACATAGCATTTGCTTCTTTATGAACATCCCAAATTTTGGAATCTTGAATTTTACTTAAAATAATTTTATTTGTCTTTTAGGTTTATCCATCTAATTCTACGTTGATGAGTCCTGACATTCTTTTTTTTACAACTTTTCATCTTAAAATCTAGAACTAATAATGGATGTTGGGACTTAAATCCTCACTCGGAATGATCTTACAATCTTTACAATCTCGTCGATCTTTTCTTCTCATAAGAAAATAATCAATTTGTGTTTTATTAGACATTCTCACATCTTTTTTCTTGTAACAAAATCATATGCCAAAGCAAAATCTAAAATGACTTTACCTTCTTCAATCGTCACTCCAAAAGTGTGGCCACCATAAATATTTTTGAAATATTCTACCACCCTACCGACATGTCTATTTAAATCTCCTCCATTAAATCTCCTCCAATAAAAAATATTTCTTCAAGATGTATCATTTATATTAAGTCTTCTAAGTCATTCCAGAATTTTATTTTAGTCCTTGTATCTAGAACTACCTAAAGAGCATAAGCACTTATAAAATTAAAAATCTTAGAATCAATAATAATCTTAAGGGCAATAATTCTATCACCAACTCTATTAATTTTTACAACATTATCTTTCAAACTCTTATCTATAATTACACCTACACCATTTCTAGTGCGACTCTTACCGGAATACCAAAGTTTAAAGCCTAAGTTATCAATCTCCTTAATCTTTTCTTCCACCCATTTAGCTTCTTGAATACATAATACATTAATCTTTCTATGAATCATAATATCAACTAATTCAATTAATTTATCATTGAGAGTACATATATTCCCATATCCTATCCTGATTTTAGTTTCATTAGTTTCATGGACTAATTTTTTTACACACATCTGTCCGTAATGTGAAAAAACTTGCTTATTTGAAATTACACCCGGGCGCCGGTATAGCAGCCCTTGCACACTTTTCACTATATTCAGGTCATACAGTGTGTCGCTTCTAGGGGACGCTCTAACAGTTACACAATGATCAAAAGGCTTCATGTTATGATTTTTTTTTTCGACAAGTTTTATTTTGGTTGTCGACTACCTAACACAACCCTCCATTTTTCACGTCCGGACTTGGGATTGAACATGGGATTTGAACTTATAGAAAAAAATTGTGCCCAATAGGATTTGAACCTATACCAAAAGTTTAGAAAACATTTGTTCTATCCAGTAAACAATGGACGCTTTAGTCTTTTTGGATATTAAATATTGAACTTTTATCTGAGAGAAGTTAGATTTAGAAGGTGATAACTAAATCAAGGAGAATGAT